ATCTAGGAGTTTTAGAAATGAAATTAGGGTTTCGAAGAGAACCATACAGAGATGAAGAAACCTGTTTAGAAAACCATAGATCGTGGCTTAATATAGGACGATTTCACTCGAAATCATACTAGAATGGCCAGGAACGGGCGAGAAATGAACCTTAGATGCAAGTCGACATGGCTCTGGTCCCTTGAGGGCCTTAGAGATGGCAAGAATGACATGAGAGAAGCCATTGGAGGCCTGAGAGATGGTGAGAGGTCACCGGAGATGGCCATAGATGGGGGGTCGAGTTTGGAGATTAGGGTTTAGGTTGAGAGTGTTTGAGAGAAGAGAGGATTTTAGGGCGGCGGGGTTGGTGGTGAAATGAATTAGGTTTGGGGGGTATAGCTAGTTTAATTAGGAAAGGGTAAATCTGGGTCTTGATCAAAACGATCAACGGCCAGGATTTGGCCGGGTATTGGGTCGGGTAGGTAGTGGTTTGGGCCTAGGTAATTTAATTAGAAATTTGGGCTGGATATTGGGATTGGATTGGGTTGAATTGGGGGCTAAAATTGAAATATAATTAGGGCATATTTTAAATAGCCATTTTAACACTAATAATTTATAAGGAATGATAAATGATTTCTGAAAAAATAATTTCGTGTATTAAAATAATTAAAAATAGTTGTTTAACATTTGAAAAATATAAAAGACCATTTTATGTATTAAAAACGTAATTATGCTTTAATAGGGCTAGTATTGCAAATATATACAAATTGACTTAAAAAATGTAAATGCAATTATAAAATTGCGCTAAAAATATTTCAACAATATTTTGGCATAAATGTCGAATTTAGATGACTAAATTACCAAAAAAAAAATTGAAAGATAATTATTGGAAATTTTATGAGTAAAAAGAGGAGAAATAAATCAATTTGAAGCCTTTAAAAATTATAGAAAAAATTATAAAAATGCTTATGCATGCTTATATATGCATATATGCTATTTTAAAAGTATATATATGTATTAAAAATATATAAAAAAAAATTGGGTATCAACATTATGTTCATACTAAAAATGGCCTTGTAGAGTCATTTATTAAACACTTGCAATTGATAACAAGACCACTACTTATGAAAATAAAATTGTCCACTACTGTTTGGGTCCATGCTATCTAGCATGCAGCATCACTTATTCATCTCAGACCGATACATTATAATAAAATATTCTCCATCATAATTAGTTTTTGGTCATGGACCAAATATTGTCATCTACTAATTTTTGGATGTGTTGTATATGTGCCTGTAACACCATCACATCGTAGTAAGATGGCCCCCCAAAGAAGGTTAGGAATATATATTGGGTTTGATTCACCTACTATTATTCATTATCTTGAACCACTGACGGGAGATTTATTTACTGCTAGATTTGTAGATTGTCGATATGATGAAACAAATTTCCCACAATTAGGGGTAGAGAAAAAGAAAATCAAAAGAGAAATCGTGTGGAAAGTTTCATCATTACCTCACTTTGATCCACGTACCTCTATATGTAATCAGGAGGTCCAGAAGATCATTCATTTACAGAATATAGCAAATCAAATACCATACGCATTTACTGATTTGAAAAGGATAACTAAGTCACATATCCTTGTAGAGTATGTGTCTATCCGAATTGATATCTCATCAGGACCATCTACTAGTATAAGAGCTAGTGAACCTAAAGCATGCCTGAAGCGTGGTAGGCCTTTAGGTTTTAAGGATCAAAATCCTAGAAAAAGAAAATCGACACATGATCAAAATGATACTATGAAAGGATCTCCTGAAGAAACCCAAGATCTGATTAGTTCTAAGATTCCTGAAGAATCAATGAACCCGAGGATCAAGTGAGTGAGAAAATTTTAATAAGTTCTACTGGTGATGAGATCAATTTAAATCGGTCTGAAATAGTGGTGGATAATATTATAGCATATAATGTTGCACTTAATATTATGCAAGATTGTGAGAATCTTGAACCCCAATCTGTCGAAGAATGTCGACAAAGATCTGATTGGCCAAAATGGCAAGAGGCAATTCAATTGAAATTGAAGTCACTTGCTAAAAGAGAGGTCTTTGGACCACTAGTCCAAACACATGCTGATATAAAACCACTTGGTCATAAATGGTTTTTTGTGCAAAAAAAGGAATGATAAAAATGAAGTTGAAAGATACAAGGCTCGCCTTGTCGCACAAGAATTCTCACAACGACATGGAGTCGATTATGAAGAAACATATTCAATCGTTATGGATGCCATAACATTTCGATATCTCATCAGTTTAGCGTTACGTGAAAGGCTTGAAATACATATGATGGATGTGGTTACAGCTTATCTGTACGGGTTACTTGATAATGAAATTTACATGAAAATTCATGAAGGATTTAAAATGCCTGAAGCATATTCAAAATTGGGAATTGTATTCAATCATATTACAAAGATCTTTGCACGGTTTAAAGCAATCTGAGCGCATGTGGTATAATCGCCTCAGTGAATATTTGCTGAAAGAGGGTTAAATAAATGATGTTATTTGTCCATATATTTTTATAAAGAAAATGGCTTCAGAATTTGTTATACTTGCTGTTTATGTTAATGATATAAATCTTGTTGGAACTCCAGAAGAACTCTGAAAGCAATTGAATATCTTAAGAAAGAATTTGAGATGAAAAATCTTGGAAAGACAAAATTTTGTCTTGGTCTGCAAATTGAACATTTAGTAGAGGGATCTTTATCCATCAATATATCTATATAGAAAAGGTCTTAAAACGCTTTTACATGGACAAAGCACACCCATAAAGTACACCAATGGTTGTTCGATCACTTGAAGTGAATAAGGATCTGTTCCGGCCTCCAGAAGAGGATGAGCAACTCCTTAGTCCCGAAATACCCTATCTTAGTGCAGTTGGTGCACTTATGTATCTTGCTAATGCTATAAGGCCAGACATAGCATTTTCTGTTAATTTACTAGAAAGATATAGCTTTTCTCCTACACGAAGATATTGGAACGGGATTAAGCATATATTGCGATATTTAAAGGGAACTCTTGATATGAGTTTATTTTATGCTAATAAAGATAATGCAGTTCTTGTTGGTTATGCAGATGCAGATTATTTATCTAATCCCCATAAAGCTCGATCTTAAATCGGGTACGTGTTTATATGTGTAGGTACTGTCATATCATGGCGCTCCACAAAGCAATCTATTATTGTTACTTCTTCAAATCATGCTGAGATGACAGCTATTATGAAGCAAGTAGGGAATGGGTATGGTTGAGATCAATAATTCATCTTATTCGAGAAAAATATAGTTTGGAATGTGAGAAAAGACCCACAATTTTATACGAAGACATGTTGCATACATAGCCCAATTGAAGAGAGAATTTATAAATGAGATAGAACGAAGCACATTTGACCAAATTTATTCTATATACATGATCTTCAGAAAAATGGTGACATTGATGTGCAACAAATCCGTTCAAGTGACAATCTGACAGATTTATTCACTAAATTTTTGTCAACTTCAACTTTTGAGAAGATGGTATACAAGATTGGAATGCGGAGACTCAAATATTTAAAATAAGGTTTTCGTCAGGGGGAGTAAGATTCGCGTTGTACTCTTTTTCCCTTAGCTAAGGTTTTATCCCACTAGGTTTTTCATGCAAGGTTTTTAACGAGGCAACAAACAATGCGTATTATAAGATATATGTACTTTTTTTCCTTCACTAAGAGTTCTCCCACAGGGTTTTCTCTTAGTAAGGTTTTAACGAGGCACATTATCTTTTATTAGACATCCAAAAGGGAGTATTATAAATCTTGCAAGTGGATTCATCCACTTGCAACGGTGGATGTCGAGGAAAGTTGGGCAGTGTAGCGCCACAAGTAGAACCTAGACCTACTTGTGGCGCTAAAAACAGAACACTCAAGTTGGCAGCGCCGTGGAAAGCATGCCGAAACTGGATCAGACATGTTGAAAAGAAGTGCTCAAAATAATTCGAGAAGATCAAGTACTACTTCATTGACCATTGATGAGGTAGATGAATTAATTTCTATGAATGCCGCCTCTTTGGAAAACACTGAGAAAGATGGGCAAGACGAGCAAGAGCAAACAACTCCCAAAACGCCTACATTGAATGCATATTCAGAGGCACCAATTTCTAATAAGAATAAAAAGCCAAAACAAGATCATTTTGAAGGTATGGCTGATATGTTGAGAGGTGGGATGGATAATTTGGCCAATGCCATAAATCGCTTATCAACTATGCCACCAATTCCAGAGAGTGAAATATGGCAGATGGTGAAGGAGATGGATTTGGAACCGCGTTTGGTCCCAAAGGCTTATATATTTCTTTGTCAACATGCAGACTTGTGCCGCACGTTGATTGGATGTCCATGGGAAGAACGCAAAATTCTTTTGTTGACCATGATGTCGGTTGACAATTAAGTTAGATTAATATTATTTATATTTATATTACTATAACTATTAAGAATTTTATTATGAAGTGGAATGCTTCGTTATTAGAAGATATTATATCATGCACTCAAGTTTTGGATTATATACAATTGCTTTTTACTAGGAAATATTATTTACGATCTAAATTTTGAATGATGTGTACTTGGTATAGCGTCTACAGGAATCTATGTTGATATAGCGTGGCAAAACCTTCTTCGATTGTAATGCTAAGAAAGATATATCTATAAGTAAATACCCTATACAATTTTATAGTCTTGACTACTCAACGTTTTTGACTGATCTAGAATGCGTACTTTTCTTATAAAAACAAAACTTTTTTTTATTAACTTCACTAGAATTTGTATGGATTGAATAACTTTTTTTTTGTATATATATATATATATATATAACTGGTGATAAATTAGTCTAAAACAACTATTTTAAATTAATTTATGAGTTATTGTTGATAAAATCTATACTTTACTGCAATTAAAGGTATTTTAGTAAATTTATCAGTTACACTACATTGTCACCCTCCAAACAAGGGGTAAGTGGTTAATTTAGGTGGGATTGTGAGATGGGAAAGAAAAGGTCTTAGCCTGATTGGCTTCCTGCTGGATGGAAGGTGGAATTCATAAAGGAAAGAAAGAAAGGTGCTTTCTTGCTCATTGCTCTTGCTTAATTTTTAACTTTTTTCTTGTTAATTTTGCTTTTGGCTAATAAAGATTGATTCGTTGTTTGATTCTTCTCTGATCTTCCTACTTCAACTGTAATTTTTGTTATTCTTGGCTTAATCTGTATTGTTTTGGGCAAAAACCCGCAACTAAGGGCTACTACTTTGTGTCTTCTCCTTTGTTGCGTGAATTGGCAAGATTGATGCATGCTCATCTGTGTAGAGAAAATAGGTAGAGTAATTGAACTTCGTAAGGATGCTTTATCATGGTACATGCAAGCTGATTCGGACAGTAAAAGTGGGCAGCCCGGTGCACTAAGCTCCCGCTATGCGCAGGGACCGGACCACAAGGATCTATTGTATGCAGTTTTACCCTGTATTTCTGATTCTGACACTACAATCAGTAAAAAAAGAAAGAAAGAAAAATAACGGGACAATTTGTGCGAGTTAGTCTTCTTGCTCTATCAAGGTTTAATTGAAGGGATGCTAGTTTGCTTAGGCTGAAGTATGAAATGCATTCAAATTGCACTTGCATGTCTAATAAGGACTGTTACCAGTATGCCACCGCGTAAAAAGGCAAAGCATTTGTTGAAACTTGTAAAACCTTGGGCAGTACAAATATATGAATGGCCTAGTTCTAGTGATTGGTCGAACTTTAGTGTATAAGCCTCTTATGCATCATTTTTCACCTCTGGCCAGTGACACATCATAAACCATATTGTCTCTGTCAAGACTTTCTTTAAACCAACTTTTACTTTTGTGGGGAGCGGGTTGATGGGGTGGTCTTGTGGAGTCATAGAAGTGTTATATGTCAGCCATTGCATGTCAAGTTCAATGAGGAGCCATTTTGATTTGGTCCTCAACTATTGTCTCCTCTATATTCAGGATTAAATTCCCTTGGTTAGACTATGTAATAGATTTAATGATCTTAGGTTTATGTTAAGAAGCATCGTGTCTTGTCCTCTCCTCTGTGTGATGCTAACGGTTCTCACGTTTGATGCCTTTGTTTGCTCTTTTATTCTTGTTTTTCCTTATTCCCTGTCTCTGAATCTTTCAACATTATTTCAGCCGGTAAAATTGATCATATATTAGCAACTAGACCAGATACGCTGCTTCTGCTACTTAAATTGTAGCAAGATATAGTTTTTATGTTATTTTTTCCCAAAGCAGTCTCCTAGCATCTTTATCCCCTAAGCCTTTAATTTTTTTAAACCGTCCACTACACTGATATTACTGTTCTACATCTTCAAGCTGTGTTAGTCTAAGCTTTTGTCTCTTATTTGATGCGTATTTTACATAGTTTGATTTGGGTGACCTGCTATTTTCTTTTTGGATGATAACCTGATTATTGTGCTTTTGGTATTTTAGAAGTAGGGAGACACAAGTGAATCTGATGTTCCATTTTGTTTAATGAGGAGAAAATTCAAGATTCTTTAATAGTGTGTGGCAGAGAGTCAGCTCAGTTGCAAAGTCTGCTATCTTACAACCCAAACTATAGAGCAATTTTGAAAGATTCTACACCTTCAAATACCTTTCCCTATCTTATATATCTCTAACCACTTCATCTTAGCCTTATTAGGACCATTTTATCTTTGCCAAAATGGACAAACTACACAATGCAATTTTGTTTTTAATAGATAATACTAAGTCTGGAAAAATTTGCTGCCATGCGATGCCATTATAAATTCTCTTTTCCAGAAAAAAGTAAAGGTAATGGATGGATTATTCTTCTTTAAGAAGTTATGTAGTTCTATCACAGTCCTACCCCTCATATCCATGCCAACCTAGTTCTCACGCCACCACTTGCAGTTTTCCTTGCTGTGCTATATCTTCTTCCTAATACTCAGTATGAAGCATCGCTCATTTACCCCTTGAAAGTCCTGTGAGATCTTCGTTGATTCTAACTTAAAGAAGTGGGGTGCATAAATGGCTAATGGCAGTTCCTGAATTTTTGAATCATAAAAGTTTCTTTTTTCCCACCTTGAATCCATGCACATTTAAGAAGGGAAAAGTGAAAATTATAATATTGTTATTCCACTCCTTTTTGCTGGTTCCTGACCTGTAAACATGCATTCTGTATTTCTGAGTGTATATATTGTGTTCTATTGCAGTGGTATAGTGATCCCTCAAAAGAACTCAAATTCAACTATAAGGCGGATCTCAGCAGTGTTGGCAGTAATTGTTCTAAGAGTTCTAATACGAAGGAGATGGAAAAGAAAGATACTGGAAAGGTCTCATTGGTGAATACATATTATTCTACCATGATAGTGCAACCTTCTTTTCCCCCATCTGTAGGGGAAACCTCCGTTATATGAAGTTCTCTCTCTCCCTTTTTTTTGCCCACTTACAGTTTCTCTTTTTTCAACGATATAGTTTTCAACTGAGAAGGCTACATCAGAAGGGTTACCACCAAGATGGATTAAGGAAATGAGGGTCAGGAGAAAGGGGCATAAAATCAAGAAAGATCCGGTACTAACCTACTTTCATATTTCAATGTCTACCAGCTTAGCAATTCTGGAAATGCAAATCCTTAACCTCTATTTTAAATGCAAATATACTCCTTGGCTTATCTGTTCCAATTGCATTCTACTTGGAGCATGTAGTAATATAGTTACTGAATTACCTTTGCAGTATTATATCGACCCCATCAGTGGACAAATTTTCCGCTTTATGAAGGAAGTTTCTCGGTTCCTTGAAACTAGAGAGTTAGGAAGATTTGACTCCCAAGCCTGAGGATCAGTGTCCTGACACTTCAAAACTGGGAGAACCTTTTTCTTCTGTCAGTGTGAATATTTTTCGCATGTTAATTCTCATTTACTGGTATTATACGTTACTATGGTAGTTAAAAAATCATACATTTCCATAAGCTAGTTAAAATCCAAGACCTCCTGTTTAAAATGATTTATGGAGGTAATTAGTAATTATTTGAATTAATGTGGTGTCAGAGAAAATTAAATTGTATGATGAAATTACACCTCAAATTGCTGGATTTTACATAAGCATTATATTACAGATCCTGATATCTATGCTAGTGGAAGGGGTGATACTTGTATTTTCTCACCGACTTGACCTTAGAAAAGAAGGTCCAGTTCATATCCTACAAGCTTTATTTAGACATCTGTAAACAAACTGATTACACCTCCCTCAGGAAACTTTGTGAGGTTCTGGATATTAGCTGATCTAACTTCGAGAGGAGAAAACTCTAAAAAAAAAAATATCTTTCCGTCGTCTTTTTGTCATGCTAAACGTTTATTGGTGATTTCAGATCTGTAGCATCTTCTGGTCTCCATTTCGTTTATAAAAATAGCGGAGGAGGTCAGACTCTTAAGACAATACATTCTTCATCAAAGAAATAAACTTCACAACCTCCCTATCTCATTATAATCATTTGAAACTGTTGATTATAATTCTATTGCAAACAGGACAGTCTCCCCACATATAAAACTCGTCAGCAAGACTTCAAATTATCCATGGTAATTCTACAATCTAATCTTTTTGTTTGTTTCTGTATTCGCTAGTTGACTGCTGAAGCTGACAAGCATATATCGCTAGACCGCGATGCATCTGGCAAGGAAGTTAATTCGAATCATAAGCTGAAGTTGGGTGCTGAACATATGGCGCATTCCAGTTGTGTAGAAGGCATATATCATCCTTTGAAGGTATTACTCACTATTCGAAAGTTCTAGTGTTTCAGTTTGATATGGAGTATTTAATGCTTTATTTATGCTCTTATGTCATCTATTTATTGTAAGTTTCCTTCCATTCCTCTCTTACAAATTTCCTGATGAATTCAAAAACTAGTTTACTGCTGTAATTCTTGGGGGGAAAGCTTTTAATATGAGAAATTCTTTTGATACTGCAGTCTCTACAATCATCAAAAGATATTATATCATGTCATCAAAATCCTAATACAGGCTTTCTTTTAAAGAAAAAAGAAAACTTAGTTTAGGCATGTCACACGTTTCTTAGTAGTTTACCAAAATGAATATTTTTAATTTGGAAGTGAGAAATATTTAAGGTTTAGGAGGTGCTGTACCATAGAATGCGGAAGAGGAGGATGATGGTAAAGTTGTTTCAGATCCTGTAAGTGGAGAAAATCAAGAAAAGCCATCACGAGATGGAGTGGAAAAGCATGACCAGGAAACAATCCACTGTAAAAGAAAAAAGAGTATGAACTTGCCTCGCAGAAATCAAAACGGCTTGCTGGTATTAAAGCTAATACATCTCTTTAGCTCCGAACAAATAATCAAGCCCATCTAGCTACAGTAAGACAGGAGGAGACACAAGCTATCACCACTGATAACCCTGTGAATTTTATTAATATCAGTAAGCATGTTGCAACTGCATTAACTGGTATTACCATCAACAAGAAGGTAAAAATTGGGAGTGTGACCATCAAAAGGCAACAAGACGTTGTTACTTTATCACTAAAGGAGCAAGAACTTCCTTCTCCAGATAAACCTGCAAAAAGTATCCTTGCTAGCTGTGAAGGTGATAAGAAAGGTGAAAAAGCTCTTGAGTCGTCTTTAAGTGACATTTGGACGGATCCATGCATAAAATTTGCAATAAAAAATCTAATAGCACAATTCCAGTCATAAATGACAAGAAAGTGGATGCGAAAGCGATCCCAGGTTCTTGTCCGAATATGCCTTGTGTTAAAGCTCCTTCCACTGTGGGTTTACCTTCTAATGAAATATGGGCAGATCCTTGCTTCATGTTTGCAGTCAAAACTCTTACTGGTGAAATAACTTATGCTCTCAGAATATAGTACAACAGCAATGCACTTCATCACAATTCCAAGGAAGTAATGGCTTAGTATTACCAAACATCAGATTTGAAGAATTTGCCAAGGCCAATCTTTCACATTTTGGGACACCAAAAAAGGCTTTGTGCAAGCAACAACCTGCAGTAGCAGCGCCCAACGCATATCAAAATTGTTGGTTTACAAAATTTGGTCCTCGTCGGCCTTCACCACTTTGCTGAGATAGACTATTATAGATTGTAACCTAGCTTAGGAAGTTCAACCTAGCTTGTAGTAGTATTGTAATTTGTAACACAGTGCCTAAGTTAGCATCAGGGTCTTCCACTTTGAACTCAAATGTTTAAGGCAGCTAGAGCTGCAGTAAAAACTATGATGTAAAAGAATTATTCACAGCCGAACTGCCTGTTTCCTGTGTATTTTTCTTGATTGGGAACACTTATCGCTAGTTCGAGAAGCTGTTTTCGTCCATTTTCACTAAAAGCAGCCATATCCTTGTGCCTCAAATTTTTTGGTCAAGGATGCATATGCTTGATACATCCAAGTAACTTCCATGTACTTGTTTTCAAATTTCTCCTAGCATTCTGTCTGAGACTTGACATGGGATTGCACCTAATGTTATTAAAAGATCAGCTATGACAATACGAATTAGTATTAAGTTTTTGTTTCTATGTTATGTTATTTTCAAAAGACTACTATGTGATACATTGTTTTCACCATTTAGTCCCTACATTTTAAGGTTGCAAAATTCATATCAAGAAACTGTACCTAAAAGGCAACTTTAGTTGGAGAATGGCAACTGAAATACTAGTTAAGTAGTAAACTATTCAAATATATAATTTAACTTATTACTTGACTAGTCTTAGAATACGTGCGTTGCGCGTGTTTCTTATCTTAATAAATTATTTTTTGTAAGAAAATTACATATATATTTAAATTATATTTGAATTATAAAATAAAATATAAGCTTCTGAAATTGATAAATATTGATCTTATATAGCTAACTCAATAAAGGAAAAAACTTTATTCACAGATGTCCTCAATCATTATTCAATATATTCACCTTAAGAATTGTTCTAATTTTATAATTTTATCAGTTGAATTTCATGAATTATTGTACTTTCTTTTTAGTTTCAATAAAGCACATAACCCTTGAAGATTTATAAAAAATTGAAAATATTTTTCATAGGTTATTCTCAAGTTCATTCAAGAAGAAAACGACATAATTAATTAGTTGTACTTTATTATGTTTCTTTAAAGATATTCAAATAACATAAATTAAAAAATTGAATCTTATGCCTTTTTTGTAAACCTTCGAAGGTTTCAATGTTACCCAAGCAGTGAGGTTCTAATTGATAAGATAAGAAGAAAAAAGAATTTATGAGTTACATAACTTTGTCGAAATATGTGGGCAAAAAAAGCATTACTAAATATGAAATTTAATAGATGAAAAAAATATGAAATTTTACAAGGTAAACAAATTATAGTGAAAAGTTATTGAATCCATTGATTGTGTATGTACATATTAATTTAGATATTTTTTTATATATCATCCATTTTGAAGATCTAAATACTCGTACTTTCTATATAGTTCAAATAAGAAAAGATTTAATAAGTATAATTTTAATTAATTTGAATTCCTAAATATTAATAAAATATTTAAATTATATTTTATTCAATATAAAATTTATCTTTTATAGGTAAAATATCAATTAACATTTTTTTTTTTGAGATTTCGTATTTTTATAATATAGATTTAGGCTTGTACGATTTAGTATGATTAAATATACTATCAAATAATTATTTTAGGTACTTAATTGAACATGGGTTGGTTATTTTTATGATTAAAATAAGAATTTTTAATGCATGTTTAATTATAAAAGAATTTAGATGTTCTTGTATTAAATAATGTTAAATTAATATTTGAGTTGATGTCCTAATATTTCGGTTTAATTATAAATCAAATGAAGGCACGTATAATCTCCTTCTAGTCTTGGTTTATAAGTATTACACCAAGTGTGGATTTTATAATTAGTACAATTTATATAAGGTAAAATATTAGTTGATACTATGTCCTAAATATTAGAACTTTTTACATAGTTTAATAAAGATAGATTTGATATACAAAATTTTAATTGATTTCAATGTCCTAAATATTAGGAGAGTAACTTAAATTATAATTTTGTCTATTGTGAAAGCTGTTTTTGAAGGGTAAAAAAGACGAACGACATTTCGCCAAAAGCCTTCGTGTTTTTAATATAGTATAGATAGATATAGATAATAATAAGATTATTTGTATGTAATCACGCATGTATGAAAAAGAAATAGTATCTTATTTGGTATTTGTGTTTTTAATTAATGACTACTAATGTGGAGACGTAACTTTGTGCTTATTCGTGTGCGCGCTAAATATTGAATGTTTATGCATTTATAAAAAAGAGTTATTGGAGTAAGCAAAATTTGCAAAATATTATAGGATGGGACGATGCCACGAGCATCATGCTAACCCCATATTTTGAGATATGCTCAAAAGACAGTGAAGTACAAGCTTACCTATACAAAGAATTTCTATAGCATTATGTTTGGATCGGAACCCAAAGAAAGGTATGGACAAAAGAAAAAGCAACGAAAGAAAATTTCCAAAAATTCTAAAACTAATGGAAACAAAAACCAAAGGGGAAAAGCCCCCGTAAGGCAAGAATCTCAAATAATATAAATTCTAAATAATTCTAAACCTAAAAGGAAGCACACGACAGTTTAAAACTATCAAACACAAAATGAAAATGATCTTAAATTAATGAAATATTCAAGGGATATGAGTTAGAATGGCTAACCAAGTTTATGCGACAAATACAACAATCCAAACAACCTATACAACATTTGTATATGAGTCAATTTTAAGCCGATGACCCTATATGAATTATTGCAAACAAAATCATAATTGACAAATATTCAATGTGGAGTTGTTACTTAATAATGCACGAATGACTATTATTTCATAACTTTAAAAATATAGTAAAATTTACCTCAAATCACAAAAAAATTACTTGTGGACATCAATACTATGAGCAGTTTATGACAAAGAATATAGGATGGTGACTTCTTTTATAGAAATGGTTAGCTCCTCCTTATTCTAAACTGTTTTAGTATTCAAATTGAATCCTAAACCTACACAAAAAAGACAATAGAAATTGCGTCCTAAACAAACACAAAAAGGACAATGGAAAAAAGACTTACCGTACTAAGGATCCTAAAACTAAAGGAAACAAAAAACAACGAAAAAAAATATCCAAAAATCCTAAAACTAAAGGAAACAAAAATAAAAGAGGAAAAAAACTCGTACGGCAAGTATGTCAAACAATAAGAATTCTAAATCTAAAAGGAAGCACATGATAGTTTTTAATTTTGCTCAAAAATAATAATTAATGATTAGAATTACAAATATATCCAACATATAATGCACTTACAAAGGGTAAAAAAAGACGAACAATATTTCGATAGGGCCTTCGTGCTTTTAATATAGTATAGATTAAGTTTCTTCACTATTCTTCGAGCTTGTATGAGCTAAAATTGATGAAAAGTTCCTCTGTCCAAATTGTTTAATATAACTTTGGTCACAAAAATGGAAATTAATTAATTTTAAGTCTATCAATTAACTTATCTTTGAAAACCATATGAAAATTCTTACTAACTCCATACTTTTTTTTTTGTTGATAAAGGTGCCCAGGGACGCTGAATATTATTATGCATTGAAAGTAAAGGAGTTATTACAGTGTCGGACTGATCTTATCGAAACAGTCCCTAGTTTGTCTTTACGGAAAGTAGATAAAGCAAATAAAGGTGGTTCACTCCAGAAGTGTTCGCCACACTCGGGAGTAGTATGTGAGTTAGAATTGCTCCCAAACTGCACTAGTATGTGCGCCACTTGGTTTCCTTCACGATAGACATGTCTAACTTCCGGTTGGTTCAGAGCTTCTAATAGGAACCTGCAATCATGTAGAAGATTAGCATTAGCTTTAGTATGAGAATTGTCATGCAGTAATTGTAGTAATACCTGGCTATCTGTTTCCACTATATGTCACGACCCAAAACTGACTTGGTCGTGATGGCGTCTATCGTGAAACTAGGCCAGTGATCACGCCCAACTATACCTTATAAAAGGACAATGCGGACGTTGCTAATATAACCTGAGTATTTATGCCCAGAGTCGAATCCACAGAGAATTAACCTATCAATTACTTTCGTTGGACTTACTAAATTCCTTAGAATCAACTTCCCCAAACGTTGTGAATAACAGTTGATGGTATATTTAATAACTAAGATTGAAAGTCAATAAACAGTTGTAAACTAAATATGCTTAAGTTGTGAACAATAATGAGAAGGTTCTAAGGTAGTGATTTCCCCTATTGATGGAATCCCTTCTGTTTATGTTTCATATAGATTTACGAACACATCTCTATCAACCATGAACACTCTTTTTACCGTGAATCTCTCCCGAGTAATCACGATAATTTACTAGACGCACTCTCCCGAGATACGCTAGCTGGCTTTGTTTATTACAATTCACTTTAGATTGCACCCAAGACTTCGTTATCCCTAATCCC